CAATACTTGGTGTTGATTGATGAGATCTAAACGAAATTTCATTCGTATTATTATCATCCACAGGAAGCGAGTGATTAAGGGTTTTGTTGGATGTTGTATATACATCATTATACGAGTTTTCTTCATCATTAACCGGATCTTCAAACACATCACTTGAAGAAATCGATGACTCACTTGCGCTGTACTTAGGTTGTTTAATAAGATGAGCTTGGTCTGTATCTTTATTTAAATGCTGCTTTTCTTCAGTTTTTCTGGTAAGCATATTAAGCGGATCAACGATAGGTTTAAATATTGTTTCCAAAGCCAGATTGTTTGTATTTTTTGCATCTTTTATCATTTCTACCTTCCTTTTTACAGCTGCAGCAGATTTTACCATTTGTTTATTAAGGTCTCGTTCCATTGTAAAGGAATTGCACTCTGAGTACTCAACAGAAACTGATTTCTTTGTGACATAGCGGCTATTTAAACGTTTAGTCTACTAGTATGAATGTATCAAACTTCCTTCTTTAACAGCCTTTATTTCGTTCATAGTCTTTATTTATAACAACATAATCGAAAGGTTTACTCCACGTTTACTACACATGTCATGTCAGACTCTACATGTTCACCATAAACGTGTCTCAGATTTATGTCATCTTGTTTAAACAATATGATCAGGTTATCGTTATCTCTTACTAGTTGCTTAGGTATCTTTGTAAACGTTTTATTAATATAAAAACAGTCGATGTTTTTATGTCGACCCATGGCGAAATATTCGCGTATGTTGTTCTGATTTTCACAAGCTACATCTTCAAGTATTATAATAGAGTTAGGCGAAGCTTCATGTGGATCCAAAATTAACTATTATGATCATACTTGTAATGAGACGTACCTTCCACATCCTGCAGTATTTTTTCTAAAAAATAACTGTTTAGGTTGAAAGACTTTGAATATACATAAAGGTTGCGGAAACGTGGCCCATTCTGATGTAACAATAAGCTGATAACTAAGTTAGTTTTTCCACAATTCGATGGACCGCATACAATACTACGTATCATATTTGGCAATAAGCTCCCATGACGTTTAACCTCATTTTTTGGTGCAGGACAGATACATTCTAATTCAAGTGATTCTTTTTGTTTGAGAAATTTCATAACAGGTTTGTTAATTTGTCCGTATTGGCTGATAGGTTTTAATGAACTAACGTTATTTCAATCGTGTTAATAATTTAAAAACTTGAAATAGTTGCTGAAGATTAACTTAAGCATCAGCTTTAATTCAAAAGCATTCACTCACTCTTGCTTCGCGCTACACGCCCACTGAAGAACATAATTCTCTCAAATATAGCTTCCAAATTTTTAGTCTAACCAAATTAGTACCTATATGCTTGCAAGTTTCTATAAATCATTTTATTTAACCAATGGCGGTGATCGCAAATGATCTAGCGGTTTGTACTACGAGTAAGCTAGAAAACCAGATGGCTGTGGTTCGATTCCCATCCAGTATAAAAATTAGGATGCATTAACACATGAAAACATTTGTATATGCTGTTGGAGGCCTTTTTTTAATATAACTGCAGCGTGGCTCTTAGTAACAACACGTATAAAAATATTATTATATATATATATATATATATATATATATATATATATATATATATATATATATATATATATATATTAATTTATGAAAATGTAATGTATGTACATAAAACATAAATAGCTTTCATAAGAAAAAATATGTTCATTTTAAACACTAGGAAAAACACTAATACCAGTTTTTAGACTTTATAGAATTAGTAATTAATTTATGGTAGGCAATATATACGCTTTTACAACAACGCCGTTATTCCAGACTATATTCTATCTAGAGATATTACGAATAGTATAAAATTCAGTTTAAGATTTGAAAATTGTTAGTTTTATTCTTCAAAAAGCATTAATTTTGAACAAAGATATATTTAAAATGGATCAAAATTTAATAAGTACATCGACCGCTATATGCTGACCCATTCCATAATATTGTGAAATATACTCGTTTGCCTGTAAAACACTGTTATCGCATGTTACGTCGACAGACAGGTGACGTACTGCTGCTATATCAGCAAACGTTAATTCGGCATCGTTAGCAACATTTATACAAAGTGATTTTCACATACGAGCATTTAAAGTTCTAATGTTAATAAGCAAAAATATTCCTTACGAATAACATTAATACAGATCAATGCTAAAGTTACCAAATGAAATATTTCTTTATTTTAAAATATGTCAAATTAAAATACTTCCAAGTGGGGATAGCGTCATAACTTAGGGTATAAAATATGATATAGGGAGGTGTTTAACCATTAGTTGCATCGTGTTTTCCACAGTCTACTAGACTTGTAAGTGTTCGACATCATCATCAAGACAGCAAGTATGTACGTAACACTTAGTCTCCTCATTCATTAAATACAATAGAATAATAATTAATTTGTTATATTATGTTAGAGTAAAGTTATATTATGTTTCGCTTTATAAGTTTTCATATGAGTGTTCCTGTATAGTGATTTATTTGTATTACGTTTTTAGGTATTCCAACCCCTTCGAGTCAGACGCTGAAGTACAGTCGACTTCGCAAAAGAAGAAAGCGGTTAAGAAACCAACTAATGTATTAAGGACTAAAACAATAGTTCCTAAGTCCAAGAAACGAGTTGAATTATTCGGAAGCGAGTCGGAATCTGAGGCTGATACATCACACCCCAGCTTCGACCAACAGGAAACGTAAATTAAACCTTTTTCCAGATTCTGAGGTAAGCAAATCTTATTTCATTTTAATAGTTTGAGTTACCATTCACATGATGAAAAGTTAGTTTCTATTTGATTGGATGTTGTGACTATTTTTTTTTTTTTTATAAAAACGTATTTAATTATATTCTTAGACGATCGATGTGATTGATACAATTGTTAGTGAATTGTACTACTAAGTGATGTTATGAGCATCGTATAAAAATATATTTATGCGGGGTAAGAGGGAATATAAGTATTTTCATTGCTTATCAGTATGCTTTTGTTTAAATAGTATTTTTATTGTTTCCAGGAAGAATATTCTGAACCTATCCGAGCGGGGATTTTAAAAAGCTACTTATCATACCGAACAGATTCGGGATATATGCACCGGAGCGAGCCTTCGAAGCGAGGAGAATATTACATCGAAGTGCGCATCTCTAACTTCCGCGAGCTGGAGGCTATTCCATCAGCTGACCGATGGCAGCACTCTCTGATCAGCTTTAAATCAGCTGTCGATGAAAAAACCCCAACGTGGAAGGCTGTTACCCAGTTGGTATCATATATCAAAGAAGATTATCACAACTCTCGTCCAGTTTTGTATCCAATTAAGGGTTAGTTTAATAGTTTAATCAGTGTTACTTCCTACGTGTTGTTGCTTTCAGATAAAATCGTAATAAAAACAAAAAAAATAAATTCAAATTCAGATAAAATCGAAAAACCGAAATAAAAAACCATAAAACTAAAAGTCTAAATCGGAACTCTATTTTATAATAATAAACTGATCTATATTTTAGTATAGTAATATAATAAATGTTTTATCATTTATTTTTAGAAATATTTGATACCCGGCTTAATACTTTTAATAATATAAACATAAAATCAAAATAAAGCTATAAAATTTAAATTCAAAGTCTAACAACTATATTTTATTATAATAAACTGATCTGTATTTATAATAATTTAAAAAAAATGTTTTTCTGCAAGCCCTACGGCGTGCATGTTAAACGTTATTTCACCTGAAATTTTCTTATCTTATATTTCACACACATCTCTTCAACTAATTAAACAAATGTTGAAGAAACATACAGCATTAAAAATTAATTTTGAACTGTTTGTTACATATACTTTACCCAAGAATAATGAATCATCTATTAAATCTTTTAATACTAAATATGAAATTATATACCAAAACACTGATCTATCACCTGTTCACAACAGTTTTGCAGAAAAAATAACGAACAAGTGTTCAGAATTTGAGCTTTGCGAATCAGGTTGGACTATTGAGGCAATAAGACACTTAGAATTAAATAATCCGGTAAGATTCGATCCGTATATACCATTACCTGAAAAATTACGTAAGAAAAAATCATGCTCAAATTTAAAAAAACAATGATAAACATTGCTTTCTTTGGAGTGTTTTAGCTCATTTGTATCCAACTACAAGTAATCCTAATAGAATGAATTCATACCCTCATTACTCAATAGTTTTAATAACAGATAATATGTTATTTCCTCCGAGTTTTAATGATATTAAATTATTCGAGGAAATGAATCCTAATGTGAGCGTTAATATTTACGGTTTAGATAAAAAATAATGTGATCGGGCGCTGTATAAAACTTTAAAAAGAAAGGCAAAGCATGTTAACTTACTTTAGTTAAAAAAAATATCATTTTTGTTTGATAAAAAGGTTTGATGAAGTCGTATACAAGCAATTAACTAAGCATAAATCTAAAATACATTTATGTGAAGAATGTTTTTTATATTTTAACATTGCAGAAAAACTTTTAAATCATGATTGTGCGACGATCCAAACAATTTTACCGGAAGAAAATACTAAACTTTATTTTTCAAACTATGAAAATACTCAAAGAATTCCTATTGTAATATATGGCGACTTTGAGATGACTATTCAGACAAAAACAAAACAACGTATGTGGAAAATATTCAAATACATGAGGCTAGTTGTTTTGCATATTATATATTTTGTGATTCTAAGCCCGAACTCAATAAATTAGTTTCCTATTGAGGATGCGGCGCCACAACTTGCAGAGCAACCGGCAAACGTGGATGCCGCCGTGAATACCTTGTTTTAGTTGATTCAAACGATGATGGAACAATCGCCCAGGAACTGGAACTGGAGCAAATGAGGAGTACATTGGATGAGGCGATTTTTGAAACGCGCAGTACGCCTCTCGAAAATCGACCGCGACTTCACCGCATAGCCCGCAGCAAGCGGAATCGGGCCAGCCTGACCCATGCTGGTGACCTATTTAGAAGCCAGCCGGGTCCTTTGCGAGACGGACTCAATTCTCTTTGGCGCCGCACTAGCAGTCTGCCGTATTATAGGCGCCAAACTTTCCACGGCTGGACGCACTACTGGACAAAGTAGTGCTATCCCAGCCTGGAGAACACGAATTGAAGAACGTATCGCAAAGGCTAGGGCCCTCATCGGCAGACTGATATGCTTCAGGTCAGGCAAGACCAGACCAAGGATTGTGCGCACCGTCAGGATGGCATTTGCTGGGACAAATGTTAGTTTGTCCCAGCCGGATATAATGCAAAAACTGACGGAGTGCATAGACGACCTGAAGCAGAGAATCGCTGCTTGGAGAAAGCGGATTCGTCGATATACCGAGAGGTCGACACGGTTCAACCAGAATCGTCTCTTCCAGAGTGATCAGAAGAGGCTCTATAAATGATTGGAGCGACCAATGGTAAGTGGAACGGGCTCAGTAACGAATCAGGTCGACACGGTCGCATTCTGGCGCATCCTGTGGTCAGAGCCCGTAAACTACAACGAGAGCCCTTGGACGAAAGTTGTGGCGAGTCAGTGTGCGGGTATTACGCCCATGGACCCGTCATCATAACGCCGGATGACGTAGCTGAGGCGGTCCGTAGGGCCCCGAACTGGAAAAGTCGGGGAACTTCAAATTTCTAAGTGAAAAAGAAATTAAACAATTTGATATAATGAGTGTTCTTGATGATAGTGATATTGGGTATATTCTTGAAGTAGATTTGCACTATCCAATCGAAATTCATGATGATCATTCAGATTTACCATTTGCAGCAGAAATGTTTGCTCCGCCAGGAAGCAAACATAAAAAATTAATAGCTATTTTGTACGATAAATGTAAATATGTTATTCATTATAAAGCATTTAAAAAAATGTTTACGTCATGGCCTCATTTTGCTCAAAGTTTATAGAATATTGTCATTTAGTCAAAATGCATTTTTAGCACCATATATTTTATTAAATACAATACTTAAATAAAACGCTGCTTCAGACTTTGAAAGAGATTTTTTTTTAAAATAAAACAATTCTATTTTTGGAAGGACAATAGAGAATAAAGGAAGACAAGTCGTTGTAAAATTGGTTAATGTATGGAAAGATACATCCAATAACACTAATAAACTATGTAGAGCTGAAAAATATGTAAGTGCTCCTAATTTTAAAAATTTGTCAATAATTTCAGATTCGTTAGTAGCAATCCAGATCTAACAAAAGTTATCCTTGATCGCCCAATTTACATTGGGTTTTCAATTCTGGATTTAGCTAAGAGTCATTTATATAATTTTTATTACTCTATAATGAAACGCATGTATAAAAATTCACTGCAACTCTGTTATACTGATACTGATAGTCTGCTGTATTTAATACATACAAATGAGTTTTATGAAGACATGAAAAAAAAAATATTTTGATACAAGTAATTTCAAAAACGATCAGTATGATATGCCCAAAGTAAATTGTAAACTTCCAGGGTTTTTCAAAGACGAAATGGGTGGTGATATAATAACTGAATTTGTTGGATTAAATTAAATTATATTGTATTGATTCTAAAACAACCTCAATAAGGAAAGCTAAGGGTATTAAAAAATCTGTTACTAAAAATCTTAATATTTAAAAATATAAACGAGCGTTATGGTCTAATGAAAACTTTAGAAAGAGTATGTGTATGATTAGATTAAAGAATCATCAAATATTTACTCAAAAAGTTGATAAATTTGTACTTAATACAGATGATGACAAGAGAAAAAATATGGCAGATGGCTACAATACGTTACCGTAGGGACACTATAAAACTATGTTTTAATAAATTTAAATGTAAAACTATGTAATGCTACTACTATGTACTTATAAGTAAGTAATAGATACATGTATAGCTTTTACATGTAATCATATTTATAACTTTATATTAATTCAAAATAAATAAATATTTAGTTTTAATAAATACATTCGTTGTAACAATAAATGTCTTTTCTTTTTTCATCTACACAATTGAATAATAATGATACATAATAAAACAACAATAAAATTCAATGTATAACTTTTATTACATTTTACAAGCTACATCACTTAAATTACTAGTTCTCACATAATTTTTCACCTATTATTTTATAAAACAATTTGTAGCATCTAACACTTCATCATACATTGTATCCACAACATATTGAACACTTATATTGGCACTAAGATCGTGGATGACATTTTCTTCTTGCTCGTTAAGTTCGCAAATGCTGATTTTAATCAGACGATGACCTCCTTTATCTTTATCTCGGCGGATAATGTATGATGATGATGATAATTCTTGAGAACGGTTTCTGTTCCTGTAACATTTCTTTGACTTCGATGGCCGCTCTTCATTCATAGCTATTCTATTTGGTGGTAAATCGTGAAGCTGCTCCTTTCGGTTGTAATAATTTAGTGTAAATTTATCCACATCCAGTGCATAATAATACTGATTAGTGATGGGATTAGAATCATTGAGTTCCTCAGTGTTGGCCATGATCTGCAATTAACAAAAACAAGTATGAAGTCGAAAAAAAGGTAATGGCGGCTGAATTTCTAAATAGTAAAAAAGTTGATTAAACTCACCAATATAGATGATATTTGACGAGCGTTGTAATCAACGTGCATTCGCCATGAGAATAAAACAATAATGAAACAATTGAGGGAGGGCAGGAGGCGTTCTTCAATCCAGGTAAGACACATCAGTTTATTTAGTTAGCGGTTGGTTGCAAATTAATTAATATCTTTATTATAATGGATTTCCGCAAAGTAACTATCAGTTACATTAGCATAAGCCTAGCTTCGCACACCTGACCATAAACAGAAGAAATTATAGGTGTTTTATATTAATACGATAGATTTTGCTAATGAACTATCCAAAAAAAAAAGGAAAAAACGTTTATTAGCACTAACTCCAACGAAGTTAGGCTAAACAAGTTGTATTATTAGAAATTAATCATATAGATGCGTCAATACCAGCAGTATCTCGCAAACGCTCTGAATATAATGCTGAATAACTCAACTGGAAGTGGAAGTACACTTATTCCCGCAGGATAGAACTGTAATTATGTAGACGTTAATATGGTTAAACTAAAAATGTTGTACGTCTATTGGAAAGAATTGGTGTCTTCAGCGGCATGTAGCTCGAGCAAAGCGAGAGCAAGTGACGCAGAAGCCCCAATTCTCACCTACTTGGGTGTCTTCAAAGGCGGCCATGGGAATTGACAGAAAAATCTTATGGCTTTCGATAAATATTGGTATACGTATAAAAATGATTTCTTATATTTACGCAAACACTCTTTAATGACTCTTTACAATTTAAATTATAAATTTCCAATACTACACACGGAATAAAACAAATTTTACGAATTATTTCGCATTTAATTTTAACGTTTTTTATTTCCCGATATTTTGAGCACTTTACAGCACCTATCTTCACGAATGAGAGGTGTTTGTGTTTGATAAAAACCCACGTAAAAGAACATATTAGAAACAACGACTCTCCGAAAAGTCTCAAAAAACAAACAAAACAGAAAAAAACAACATGTTTAGGATCATTTCAACCATTACGTCAAATTTGATAGACCACAAATCCTTGTAAAAGAACACCGATTCCTACCAAAGATAATTCGCGAGGCTATTGAAATAAAAAACGTCGTAATTTTAATATAGAAAATGTCTTCCTGGGATTTCATAATTCATAAAATAGAATTCAAACTAACTACTGCAGGACTTCAAGATACTATAAGCGCATTTTTTTAATATAGAAGAAGGGGAAAACGAGCATGCGGCTCACCTGATGGTAAGTGACTACCGTCGCTCATGAAAAACCGCAAGACTGGTGGTCGACCTTTTACAAAGGAGTAAGCTCTTTTCTTGAAGGTCCCTAAGTCGTATCGGTCCGGTAAAATTGCCGGTGATAAACAATTCCACAGAGAAGTTGTACGAGGAAGAAAACTCCTAGTAAAACGTACAGTGGTGGACCGCCAAGCATCTAGATGGTGAGGATGGTATCGTTAATTTTGACGCGATGTGCATTCGTGAAATTTGGCGCTGATATTAATCCGAACAATTTCTCAGAGCAATCCCGCGGTAGATGCGATAAAAAATGCAAAAGGATGCAGCATCTCTACGCAGCGCCAGTGAATCGAGCCGATCAGAAAGAACTCGGTTGTTGATGATTCGAACAACTCTGCGCTGGGTGCGGTCAAGTGGAAGGAACTGGCACTGGTGTGCTCCGGCCTAGAGGTGAGAACAGCATTCCATGTGATACTAAACTAGCGCTTTGTAGAGTTGCAAGCGATGTGCCGGCACTAAATACCGTCTCGCTCTACTGAACGCGCCAAGCTTTTTAGAGGCCAATTTGATCTTCCCTTCTAAGCGACCACAAAACTTCACACTATTCCAACGCTAGACGAGGCAGCAAGGGGAGTGCCTCAAAACTGAGGAGATACGACAAAGGGTTTCTTTTTAGCGGTAAACGTGCAAACTCTTCTGGGGACTAAACTGAACTAAATTTAGTCGCCCTCTATCCGAGACTTTGTTCAACACGTTCAAAACGTTTTCAAACAAGTAATTGGTTCATGGATCAGCTTGTAATTTTACACCCCCGAAGGTGGAGTTTACATCTAATTCATTGTGAAATACTAGAAGAACATATAAAGACCAAAGACTTCTATGTATATTACTAGATCGGCAATTCAGGACAAAAACTGCGCGGGAGCGGGTACGGGAGGGGGCGCGGGAGCGGGCGAGGGAGCGGATGCGGGCGAATAGCGAAATAGAATAATCAAGATGGCAGGTAGATTTTTATTTCTGACAGTTAGCTATTAGAAAAATACTAATTAAAGTTACATACTTATCCGAAAATTAACTTCGAATCGCGTTCAAAGAGAAGTAAGTAAGTAGAACCATTGTACAAACTTACGATTATGACTGCTTTTGTATCTTGATGTGTGTACATAAATAAATAAAAAAAAGAGTGCACACAAAGAATGACAGAGTTTTCTTAGTTACATTAAACAAAATCAGTGTTAGATTGTCGGGAACAACGCGCGTGGTTGAACAAACAACTAGTAAGAATACTCGACGAGAGGTCGATTAAAGATGTAATGGAGAATTGACTGTAAAAGAGTACGAAATTTATTAAGACCGTAGAGATCGTTTAGTAGTATCAAAATGTTGTAAGTCTTTGGCAACATCTCAACATTTTTTTTGACAATTGAAAATATAAAATGAACTATGTCAATGTTCGAAATCAAATCTCGCTTTAAAAGGAAACAGATGGGCCGAAACAAATTAAACTACGGAAACGTTGTAATCCCCGCATATGAATCGCCATTCAGGCATGCATGAGCGAGTAAATGGAACTCCGGGTAAAGCGAATAATTGAAACTACCTGCGTACGAT